TAGCCATAATACCCCAGTCCTAGCCCTGTGCTTTCTTCATGAGGTCATTTGGTCTAACACATGGTAAAGAATACCAAATATTATTTATTATATGCTATATAAAAAAGACATCTGCAAGAAGTAAATACTGACTAGTGTTACTCATGTACTCTCCCGACTGGTGACATAGTGATTACGTCTGCAACTCCTACTAACAATCACCAGGCAAAATATCTCCTTAGTGTTTACTGTTTTTACATTGGCAAGGGTAGGACAAGGATGAGTATGACTCACTGTGGCCAGGTCTAGATGAGACGCTACTGCATATTAGTGGTGGGGGACACTAACCACGACACAATGCTACCACACGGTAGTAACAAGCTACTGCGCAATAGCTCATGGCTACTGCACAGTAGCTTCAGAAAAAAAACTATGCAGGGATACTACCGCGCAGTAATGCCAGTTACTACGCAGTTATTTAGTACTTGGTTATGCAAGTATTAAATGACTGTGTAGCAACAACTCTGTAGTCTGCCGGTTGTATAGATGCGGCCTGTGTGTAGCTGAATGTGTTATGTATTGAAAATGTATGTCAGCAAAGTCAGCACTGTCTGCTGCACAATAGAATTGTTCACTTCAAATTCAACAGGGCTAGGACTTTGTCTTCAAATCTGCAAAGAGCCTAGCCCAACATCTGAGACACCAATAAGCAAATCAATATGATGGCCAGCTCATACCCTGTATATAGAAAGGACCTTTCACATACCGATCCTGTGAAGAAAGACAATCAGCAGGGGTTCAGCCTCAGGATGTCTGTGGAGTGGAGCAGGGTGGGAGGGCAGGAGAAGGAGGGGAACTAGCATTGGGTAGGCTAGTTATTGAAAGCCTGTGTTGGCTTGGAACAAACTGAGATCAACAGTACAACATCCTCCCTTCCAGCTTGCATATATAAAGCAAAATTTTGCTCTTGACTATATTGCTCTTTTGGTAGGGCCTTGGGGGCAGATGTGGCCAGGACTAGTAGGGGGTAGAGGTGGGGCACAGAACTGATCCTGCCCTTGTATGGACTTACTGTATTTAGGGGCAGAACCACCACATATTCTGAGAAAAAGGTTAAGTCCCACTCCCAGTTTGCCAAAGTTATGGTAGTCCACCAATCACCATGGTTTCTGAGGCAAAGGAATGATGAGGAGACCCTGAGAGAGCTTCTCATTCTGTTGAACTCCTCCCACAGTCTGCATAATGATGACATGCCAAGGGGTAACCTTACACAGAATAAGCATTGCAATCAAGGTTAATGTGAGGATATATGCAGAGTGCTAAACAATACGTGACCGAGACCAGAATAATAAAATAAGACGGTTGGAAGAGACCTCTAGGGTCACCTGGTTCAAAAAGTGACACACCTTTTTGGCCATCATTTCACAAAGTAAGCCCTGTCTCCTCACCAAGTTCCACTCCAATCTCCTTCCCCTACCTGATCCCTTGCTCTATTTTCTCTTTGCCTCCTGCTCTGTTGCTCTGCCTTATCTTTCCTGCCTGATACATTACTTTGCTTTCTTCACTCTGCCAGATACATTACCCTGCTCTCCTCTCTGCCTTATCTGTGCTGTTTTCCCAGCTCCTTGCTTAATCTTCCATGTGCCAACCAAAGCAGCAGCACATTCCAAAAATGGCGCGCATACTGTGGGTTGGCCACCTCTGATCTAGTCCAACCCCCTGCACTGATGCAGCACTTGTTGTCCCTAAACCATCCCCAGACCATTTTCAAGCCTCTTCCTGAAAACTCTCAATGCATTTTTGGGGGGCAATTGGTTCTTTAAAATTTTCACTTGTTAGAATGAGCTGGGCCAGATGGCATTGCCAGGCAAGGTGAAATCTACTTCATCCTCTCTGCCATCTACAAGTGAACTTTCTGGCTTATTTCAGCCTGCCACAAGTGGGAGTGTCATTCTTGGATCTTGCTTCTGGAGTTGGATATGCCCTCTGGAAAGCAGATGATTTTTGCAAACCCAGAACGACTGCAGAAGCTAATCTAGTGATACTGTCATCTCTGGCTCATGCTATTCTAGCTAGCTCTCCTAACCGTCTATTGAAAAGCATGGTGATGTATTAAGCACAGCTAGTCTACTCAAGTTTTGAATGGCCCCAGCCAGCATCAGAGAACCCTAGAATCATTTGGGTGCCAGGGTTGCGGACCACTTTTGCCTTGCCAGAGTCCTCTGTTACAACATGCCATATGATCAACAAAAAAAACCCTCTAGAGATCTTAAAAAGTTTTGAGCTATTGAGAAGCAGATGAAAATCCAGAATGTAAGACGTACTAGACTCTGTGAGAACTCACATGGGAAGGACAGGAAGCCGACAGCCAAATACTTGAAACCTTGTAGGGTTTCATACAATCAACACCACCTGTTTTGGAATCAGTTCACATTCTTTTATGAATAAAACAGTTTTGGGAGGTGAAACAAAAGAACAGACCACTGGCCATTAGGTACCACTTTGGGAAAATACAAAAGGATTCTCTAAGAAGTAAAACTGAAAAGACATCTTACATACAGTAAAGTCCACTTCACTGTTTATAGACCTTATTGCTGAATTTTCTAAGCAAACACCCATGTTCAAAACGGCTAACAAAAATAAACAAACAAAACAAAACAAACCCAGCAGAAACTACTTGGAAGTTTAAATCTTGGCCTCCCTGAAATTAATGGCAAAACTCATTGACTTCACTGGGCTCAGGATTATAGCCAGACCACAGTTTAATTTGGCCAGCAAAGTTCTGAAGTCACTTCGGAGAGAGAGAGAGACTATATTCTCAGTTTCAGTTTACAGTGGCAGAAACTTTCTGTACTTGAGATGGACAGAGAAGTAAGAGGGTAGAGCAAGGAACCTTTTCACAGCAGATTCTACTATCTTTACCTGTTGCAGACAGTATTAAGAGGCCTACTCAACAAGTAAGGTACCAGCTAACCAAAGTAAAAGTGTCAGAACTCAGACATTGACTTTACTAAGCTCCTACAGACACAGAAGATCATAGGTATCACATGGTCCATTAATGCAGAGTAAGTTGTAGGGGCAGGGACTGATTTGCCTGCATGTTGTATAAGACATTATGGATGCTAAACAAATAAGCTAAATACAGATGGTCCAAAAGCCCGAGGCTGAATCAATTCAATCTTCACAGGTTAATTAATCTAAGCTGTATAGATTGAACCAATAAGCAAGTGAACAGACATTCACTTTTGATTCCAGAAATGCAGCCACATGCCTGCAGTGGCTCAGGCCAGAAGCTTTTGGGGAGGGAGGGGGGGGGACGACAGGGACGGACACACGACACTGAAGCAGACAGCATGAGCCAAGGCTAGCCCACTTAGCCTGGAGGGGGTGGGGTTGCAGGGGAGGTACAAAGCATCCTTGGGTGCTGGGGGACTGTGAGTTAACTTAAATCTGGAAAGGATCTGGGATGGAAGTTCAATAAATCACTTTAACCTAAATCAGTAAAGTTTGATACTACACTCATCTAGGTTTTTCTAAAATCAGTTTCAGCCATTTTGAAAGCGATTTATGCGCACTGAACTTCTGTTGTGTTACAGATTTGAACCAGTTTCCAACCATTTATACTATATGTGTAATTTCTGTCCCTAGCTATAAAAATAATATGTTTTAAGAAGAAGGAAATCCAAATGCCTGTAACCCATCAGTTCTGGGAGTACAGAGTCACAGCCAGCGACTGCCTTGAATTCCACTAGCATGTATAACATAACCATCTGCAGTACTGAGTTAGGATTTGGTACTAGCCACTGCTATTTAGAAAGAAGTTGTGTCCACTTGTTATTGCACTGAACCCTGCATCAGCATTTGCAACACAGCATGCCTTGGGAAAGGTACTTTTACATAGGATTCCACAGGATATGTCATTATGCTACAGGATGGTAGGAATTACCTGACGAGATGAGCCTAGTGGTCCATGAAGCCCCCCATTCTGTCTCCAACAGTCTACACTGCTGATTCCTGAGCAGGACACTGTTCTGCAATACACTGCCTTTAAACAAAGTCACCCCAATAAATGACTTAGAGCCTTAGGTTTATAGAAAGTGGTTCCTCAACATTTTCCTACACAGGCATTTTTCTTTCCAACCCTTCTTATTTTGCCTGCAGCAAACCTGAAACAATATACCAGAACCTTTGGTCTCTCACTCTTCCTGATCACAAACTTTAGAGATCCTTCCCTGCAAATAATATCTATCTATATCTGACACAAATCTTCAAGCGCAAGCCAGTGTTGACCAAGACAATAAATATAAATAATCTATACTTAGATTTGATTCTAATTTACAGACATCACTAACCTAGACCCAAACAAAGCTGATTTGGACTCTTACACCTCAAGGGATTGCCAATGGCTAAGCAAAATGAGTAAAATGAAAAACTATGAACTCTGCAAGAAATGTGAATTTTTCTTTCAGGGACAAGCCCTGTTCCTTGAGCCAAGGCTGAAAACATGGTTGATTCTCTAGGATCTGGCATAGCAGAGAGGTGTTCCTCTCATACAGGCCACAAGACCAAGTTCCTCTTCATCAATCACAGAGTAGCTGCCAGTCAATCCAGTTCCACCTATTCCATGACTGGAAATTTTCCTGTGTGCCCCACAGCACCATACAGAAGTAGTCACCATTGGGATCCGTAATGCAGCACCACCAGGAGGGAGGGAGGAAAGCTCAAGACAAGTTTAAAAATAACAATTCTCCTTCACAAATGCACAGCATACTGTGGAAGCGCTAAGTATTTTAGGATGAGCACAGTATTTTCACATCTGCCTGAGGAACAGAGAACGTGAGACACATCCATTCATGGTGGAATTCCTTTATGTCAATGGAACTAATCTGCTCTGATGAGTGGCCTTGAATGACAGGGTATAACTCTGTTTGTGGTGGCTCTGATGCATACAGAGATGAAATTCACTCACACCTATGGCTATATAATTGTGCATGTACACAGAGACTGTGTTACTGACTCACCCTTAGAAGGCGGCCTCTCCAGATCTGAATCAAGATGAATTGGCGGAGCAATATAGGAAACTTGCCCATGATGAGCCTGCCCTGTGGACAAATCAAGGGTTTTAGTTTCTACTACATCCTGTTCAGAGAAGGAGGATTTTAGTTCACCAAGCCACAGTCTTAAAACATTACAGTACTAATAGGTTTGGAAACATATTACTTGATTACATATTTCTTCTTGCCTATAGAAATTCATGATTAAAGTTAACTTCAGCTTTAAGAATGCCTCTGACCTCTCAGAAATCCACTACATCTGGGGATATTTTGTTTCTTCCACACAGACATTTGTTGAAATTTAGCATTAGCGCTTATATTTCCTCCACACCAGGCATGTCTACACATGCAATTAATGTGACTGAATAAACTCTGGTGCAACTTGAACCAGAGTAAACTAAACCCAACACCACCGTCTACACATGCGTTTAAGTGTAGTAATTTACTCTGCCGTTGGATAGTACCCATGTCTGACAGAAACATCTGACAAAACTGTAAATTAATCTACACCAGCGCAATTGCCACACACGTAGAAGATGACATTTTACTATGCAGTAAATTAGTATCCTGAGCAGTAAAGTGCACGTGTAGACACACCCACCTTTTAGCAAACAACAACTCGCCTTCCTTTCTCATCACGGTGTTTCACCTTGTATCCTGTCTGAATTGCTTGAGAAAAAGGCTACTTGCAGTGTCATGTCCTCTTACAAGGAATTTCCATGACATATTCTTAGCATTTCAGTCCTGGAAGGCCATCCAACAGGCTAGCTTGACTCCAAAAGGGAAATGCGTAGTGTCATTCTTTTGAGAACT